ACACACACCCACACACACACACACACACACACACACACACACACACACAAGTGCTTGAACATCCTCATTTTATGATAAATGACTATATGTGAACACAAACATGGGTGGCTAAAACACAAAAATCAGAGGCGCATATGTTTTTTTTCTCTCTCTCACCTGGCACTGAAGTTCCTAGCGCTACAAACACCACTGCTGTGACAGAGTCTTTGAGTCCGATGGTGCAGCCGAAGTGGGATGCCAGGTCTCCGATGAAAGCCGTCAGAACGCCAATCATAATGATTGACACCACGAAACACGCCCACCCGTTCCAGTAGTCAGTGGGTGGGACAAAGGCAAAGAGAACTTTCCAGAAGACAGTGAGGAAATGCATGACATAATCGAAGCAGGAGGGGAGCTTCTCCTCTCCGCATTCTTCATCATCATCATCCTCACCTGCAGGAAGGTAATGAGAAATAATTAAATATGACTTTATAGAAGGTTAATAAACCCCTAAGTGCTGAAATTTGGCACATGACTCATCCACATGACTCAGAACTTGCCAGAACAACTTAGCAACCCCCTTATCAATCACCCAGAACATCAGCATCCTATCAACTTTATATTAGTGCACCTAAAATGCAGCAGCGACCTGGCAACTTCATACAAAAAACATCACCGTAGCAGAGAGTTTTGCACAGACCAGGCACCACTTTTCTTCAGAAAATATAAAAAATGTATATTTTGTACCTAAAAGCCACACACCAGGTCAGCTGTCGTGGCAGTATAGCTGAAACCTTCACATAGACACACAGCCTTTATCGATATGTAGAGCACATGGCGCGCGTGTGTGTGTGTGTTCAGGAAACAGGTTGTAATCTGTTTGATATTCTGTTGGTGCTGCGTTTCCTTGAGAGCGTAAAGAGAGCAGCTTCCAGACGCCCACACAGTGCTCTCTGACAGGTGAGGCTGTTCCTTTAAAGTGTGATTAGATGCTACAGGATGTTCAGAAATCTCACCTATTCACAGCAGCAGCTGAGAGCACACGCATTCAAGTCACTGGCAAGGGGATTTAGTCATTGTTTCGCCAAGACATTCATTCTGTTCACGGGCAAAAACCTGATTGTGCACTGTGATTAAAAGGATTATTGATAGAGTAGATGCTTAGGCTAGAACATACACACACGCTTAGACAGAACACTCACACTGATCTGTATCAAATACAAATTCAAACAAACAAATTCAAAAAGATTTAAAGAAGACTGAATCATTATGAGTCGCTATTGAAGATTCAGACAGAAATGTCAGCTGATACAAGTGTATACAGTATGTTTATGTATATGTTTATTTCATCACAGCTCAAGAGTATTTGAAGGTCACGATGATGTTTGCTGTCACTGCAACACGTGTGTAAATATGCACACATCTGTGCTAAAGAGACAGAGAAGGTCAACGTGATGCTTTATGTGCCGTCCATCAGTGTGTCTGAAGGGAGTAAACACCTCATAAAAGAGCATCAGTTTGCTTTCAGACCACAGTCAGCATACATAAATACACAATTGACAATGCAATTAAAAAAAAAAAAAAAACTTTAAACAAGATCAATTGACTTGATCAGCAAAACTGTGTAACATACTGTTCTATTTAAATCTAAATATAGAGTTCCACATTTGTCCATAGAGTTTTTTTTTTTTTTCAAATTTAGATTACATTTGGCAGTTATTTTGCCCTAAATGAGGACATACTATAGACTTATAATGTTAATATTAGACTTATAATTGTTAGTAGGCCTATTGTTTATATACTATTATACTATATATTAATAATTTGAATTGTAGTTGAATTGTGTGTGTGTGTATACAGAATTTTCTTTTTTTTTTTTTTAGCTCAATAGCTTTATTTTTAACTTCAGTTTTAGCATTAGTAATTTTAGCACTTCAGCTTATTATCCGTTTTTAATCTAAAATTTATATTACATTTTATTTCCGCTTTATTTCAATTACTGAAAAACATTTTTAAAAGTTTTAGTTAACAGCAACACTGATCTTAACCCTCAAAGATTATTTAAAATTTTTTGTTTATTATAAATGATTTATGAAAAAAATGCTTCACGAATCATTTGTCCAATTAAGGACATCCCCAAATGTCTCCAAAGGGAGGTTTGCGTCACATGTAACTTCTGGCGACAATTTTGTGTCCAATCTATAGATAAGTAAACCCCCACACACTCAGTGCTCATGTTGTGTTTTCTCTCTTCTCATCTTTTGATATAAATCATCTCGCTGTGCTGCAGAGTCTGACATTTAGCAAAGCTTTTAAACTTGAAACTCTTCAATTTACCACCATTAGCTGCAGACCTTTTATTCTTCTTTGTCCCTATCTGTGTACATTTGTGTATATGTGCATGTGTGTATCTGCATGTCCTGATAAAAAGTCGTGGAGAAATTTCTGTTCAGTTCTCAGTGGTGCTAGATAAAAAAATAATCCATCTGTCAATGATGGCAATGATTAATGCATGTTTGATGTTAGGTAGGATGTTCATGCTGGTTTTTTTCCATAATGAAGGTGAATGGTGACCAGGGGCTACCAAAGTCCAAAAAATGTGTCTTGACACAACAAATCTGAATGAGATTTGAAGGAAAAGACTCACAAGAACAATTCACACTTAATCATTTTTGAAATTCTATTTTGAAAACAACCAACATCACTGTAGATACTTCATGAAAAGACTTGGTCTGTACTCTGTACTGGTGATTCCAGGCCAGTTCTGACAGCAGACAGAGCAACATACACGCACACACAACACACACACAAAGGTTTTTAACCTTGCTTTGCCCCAGAGCACAAATTGGCACACTGAGAGGTGTTCAAGTGTGAATCACTAAGTCACCAACACCTGATCCACACAAACACACACACACACTTACAAGGCTAGAGAAGCAGCCTCTATGATAATCAGTCTCTCTGAGGTCGTGCTGCGAGTGCTAATTACTTCAAAGAAAACAAACCGAAAAAATCCCTCTCTCGTTTTTCTTTCTCCGCCTCCATCTACTTTGTTTTTCTCCTTTGCACAGAGAATGGAGACTCCTTTGTGTAGCCCTAAGAGAGGTGAAGCTGTAAAACAGACTTTCTTGAGAAACACCGCAGCCACCAGGGGGCGCTTTACAGCAGAGAGTACCGGCGCTTTTGAAATTTCAAATGGAAACCATAAACAACAACATCTGATGCAATCTATATAACCCAGGGATGCCTAAGCCTGCTCCTGGAGGGCCACTTTTCAGCAGAGCTTAGCTTTAACCTGATTAGACACACTCAAACCAGCTAATCAAGCTCTTTAGGATTACTAGAAATGTCCAGGCAGGTGTATTAGAGTAGGCTGAACTCTACAGGAAGATGGCCCCCAGGAGCAGGATTGGACACCCCTGATAACCCAATCGAAACAACAGTTAGTAGTATTTAACTAAAAATGTATTTTATAACAGCAATAATAACATAAAAGTCTCGCAGGCATTTCTGGTAACACTCGCAAGTGATTATCATCTCGAACGAGATGTTCTTTTTTAATGAAACACTAAATCAGTCCTCCCAATGTTCCTCACAAACTGAAACACTCACCGGCGCTGACTGTGATGGCCTCGATGAACTGGTCCCTCCAGCTGTTGGTACCAACCAGAAGAGCCAAGTTTGTCTTTTTAATCAGCTTATCAACTGTATTCTATAGAGAAAAGTGAGAGACGGCACACAAAGAAAATGAATGACCGCTTCATTATATTCCAGTGCAAATGAACAGGAATAAACAAACTTAAACACACTTCAGGCACGGTGGACCACAGTTCATCGAGTGCTTCTGACTGCTCTCTGGTCTGCCCCGTTGTGAAGTGTGTGTGGGATCGGAGTGTGTGTGCGTTTTAGCAAGGCGAGTGTGTGCATGTGGATCGTCCTGAAGTGTGTGGAGGCGATCGATGAGATGCCAACGTTTAAGATCTCTGAACTTCCCTGACAGAACCATAGTGTCTTGTGTGTTTCCATAAGCAACAAAAAGGAACATTTTTCTACAGAAAAACAGGTATTTTTGAATTATATGTGACCTAAAAAGTTAGTCAATTCTAAATGTAGCAACCCAGAGTCATGTTTGTGCACTGCAAATAATGAAAATGATCCTTAATAATAAAAAGTGCATATTTAAAGTATATTGCAGTAAATAACTTAATGGGAGCTTATAATTACCATTTGACAGTATAATTGGCTAAACTGGTAAATTTATACCAGTATACTATACACATGTAAATGAACAGTTCATTTAAAAATGAAACATTTTGTCGTTATTCACTCAAACTTCATGTTGTTACAAGCCTGTTTAACTTTTTTTCAGCAGAACATAACAAAATATATTTTGAAGAACTGTTTTTGTGCAAGCAATGAAAGCCAAGAGGGGTGCAAAACAACATCAGACACTCTTGAATTTAATTGTACGGATAAATGTACACTAAAACATTCTTCAAAATATCTTCTTTTGTGTTTTACAGGTTTAGAACAACATGAGGTTAGTATACGTGACAGTCATTTTTGGGTTAAAGTTGCTTTAATGTGATTATGAATAAATGGGAAATGTGTAGCTAAATTAACACACCTTGAATTCATAAGATTCCTCAATGATAACCTCCAGTTTAGGGTGATCTCCTAGCATTGGCTTCCCCATTTCAGCGATGCGTCGTTCCTCTTCCTCTTCGCCTGTCAGAGGCTCCACCTCTTCCTGCCCCGCCTCTTTCTCCTCCTCTGAAAACAAAAGCACCAGTCAGAGAGTAGAAAACAAACTAGCCAAACCAGCCAACTTATATTTCAAATGATCATCTAGAGTGTGTTTGTGGATCAACGGGTTTCTGTGGATAAACTGGATTGTGTAAATACATTTCATGAAAATGCTACAGTGAACACAAGAATTTGGCTCTGAGGTGGAAAGTCCTATAAAAGGTCAAAATCACAGATCTTCGTTGACAAATTTAGAAAATGGGTCCATTTCATGAAACATACTTATATAATAGAATACACACAGACCACTGTGACTCTGTATGTGAGAAATATGTCAGGGGCAGGATTTTCCCTTCATTTCTTTCATGCAATGAAGCTTCTATGGGCCCAGTGGGATTCTGGGTAAGTACGTGTGTGATATAAGCAACCCCTGACCATGTGACTGGGTTTAGCCCAATCAATCACCCACATTCACACACACAATGAAATGAGAGGGTCAAAG